TATTATTATTATTATTATTATTATATATTATTATTATTATTATTATTATTATTATTATTATTATTATTATTATTATTATTATTATTATTATTATTATTATTATTATTGTTATTATTATTATTATTATTATTATTATTATTATTATTATTATTATTATTATTATTATTATTATTATTATTATTATTGTTATTATTATTATTATTATTATTAATTATTATTATTGTTACCGCTATCACTATTATTATTTGGGAATATTTTGCAGCATATTAATATAATTGCTGAAATAATAAAGCAGTGTTTTCTAAATTTCTTTCAATCAGAACTACTTTGCTAAATATTCATTCCAATTCATCGTATTTTTTACTTTTTTCATTTTTCCAGTTTTTCTTTTTTTTTCTTACCTTTTCTTGCCTCAATTTTTACTACTCTTTTGCGGCTTATAAAAAAAAGAATGCATCAGAATCCATTGCAATTTTTAATTTTTTTAGCGAATTATAATTCAAGATAAGTTTGAAGATACTTGAATTGCACAAAAAATAAATTAAAAAATGATTAATCAATGAATTCTCATATATGGCTGTTAGGTCTGAATAAAATTTTTCTTTTTTTTTTGAATTTGAATGCATAAAAATGTTACTTTCCAAAAAAATGTGTTGTCATAAACTTAATGCTTTTTATTTTATTCTTTTTTGTCCTTTCTTCAAACAAAAAAAAGCGAAAAATAAAGAATTGCTTTTATTCCAATCAAAAAAAAGACAACCAAATCTATCAAACATTTATCAAAAGCATTGTTTTGATTTTCAATTGATGGATGATAATTTTGTCGTTGTATGAAAAATTAATGCTTTTTTATTGTCATCTTTTTCATCTCTTAATTTTCTTTTCTCTGTTGCTTTAACCGTGGCAGAAGAATTAATTTCGCGATCAAAAAAATCTGTCACAAGTGATAAATTCATTATTGATTAAGTTAAAATTTAAGAGGAAAAGAAGAAATTGGAAATTCAAATTTCAAAAAATTTTCCATTTTTTTTTTTAAAAAAATTCCGAATGCGATATTAATGGGAATAAAGTATTTGCTTATAAACCATCAGATTGAAACAAGTACTGTTGCCTAAGATGAATTTATCGTTTTACAGAAAAAAAAATTTTAACTCATTGTGACAAATAAGTATCATTTCCTTGACAGCTTACTGAAGTTCTATAAAGTTGAAAATTGGAAAATGACTGAATACTTTGTTAATTGTTATCACTACTTATCAATTGTTATTGCCTGAGACAAAAAAAATGAAATAATCAAAAAATTGGTGCTGAATGCAATTATTATTACCATTTTTTCTACTGAAATTGTATGATTTATTATAAATTTTTGAAAAAATCCGTTCTTTCCTTTTTTTTTTTTGAAATCACAAATTTGTTTGCTTTTTTCTAAAAAAAAAGGTTTCATCTTTTATGTTAAGATTTTCATAAATTTCCGTGATAAATTATTGCCATATTCGAAACTTAGAGTTGCTCAAATACATTTTTTTTTAATCTATATTTATCGACTACCACATTTAAATAAATAACAAGTGAATTTCCATAACAAGTCAAATTTTAGGAATTTCAATTTTTTTCAAATAAGTGTATTGATTTGTATGGTAGGCAAACAAAGTGTACTGATTAATAGAAATATGTAAAGAGAATTGAAATCAAAAAATTGATTTTAATTTTCAAATTTATTTTGAAATTTCGTTTGCTTTTTTTATTCCACATCTTTCTTCTTCTTTACAGCTGGTATTTCGGAAGATTCGGATTACACATCGGATGTGTCATTTCCGGTACATCATCCAAACAGTTCAGCACATCAATGGTACAGTCATTTACATCAGAGCAAGCGACACTCGCGACAATCTGACAAGAATCTTTTACCATTTGAAAATGTAATTCTAAAAATTGCATTACAGTAACCTTTATTACATTAGTAATTTATAGAAATTTTAATAATTTTTGAATTACCCATAAGTGTGTTAGGAATGGAAACTTTAATGCAGATTTATTTGTCAAATTACTAATTTATAAACATTTTGTATTAAAGAACAAGTTTATTTTGAAAGAAAAATAAACGACAAGTTAAAGTAAATATTATTTAAAAGAAAGGAAACCTAAACAAATTAAGCAAAATAATTGAAATTAAAAAAAATTCAATCGAAATTATTCAAATTTTGTGGGAAAAAAGTGGAAAGAATTATTCAAAATTTGAAAAAAAAAAGGAGAAATTATTTCTACTACAAAAAAAAGATTACTGTTTGTTATTTTAACTTTATTCTAGCATTAGCATATTTTTTAAGAAATAAAATGACAAAAGTTTAATAGCATAATATGTAGTAATTAAACCATATTCCCGCCATGGGCGGGGATAAAGAAAATATGACGAAGAAATACAGCACAGTAATGATTAGTTCATCCATCTATTTTGGTTTATTTTCATAATTCACATCTTCTTTCTATTATCTCTTTTCTTTTTTTTTGTCTGATTAATTATCACTAAGATATATTTGTACAGTTAGCTAACATTTATCGATCGATGTAAATGTAAATGAAATTTTTTAAATCTTTGCCATTATCTTTTTTGGAAGTTTTTTCTTTTTTTGAGAAAATATTCTTTTCATTTTAAAAAAATAAAATCTTTTTAGCTTTTAATCTTTGTCTTTTTTATTGGAAATAAAATTTTCTCAACTTTTTTCAGATTATTTATTATTATTATTATTATTTTTCCACAATTTTTCTTCTTTCCGTCAAAGTTTTTTTTTCCTTTCGTCATGTAATTATTGAAATTCAAATGATTATTTCTATCTGATTATAAGTTACATACGATTGTTTATTTTAAAAAGAAGTAATAAGAACAAGTATCAATAATTAATTAATAAGCAATTATCCCATGAACAGACATTGCAGGCAAGTAATGAAGATGAAGAAGATGCTTATCGACAGCAATACTATCCAGATGATGGCGAAAATATTGAACAAGTTCAAAAATCAAGTTTGTTTATTTTTTCTTTTGTTTAAAATCAGTTGAAACAAAATAAACAACAAGAAAAAAAAACGAGAAGATGAAATGAAAAAGGATGAATTTTGTTTACTAAATGGATTAATCAAAATGAAATTTCATTTATTTCTCTTCTTTTCATTAAAAGAAATTAATTAATTAAATTATAATAAGCAATTAACATCAAAAAAATAAATATTCATAATAATGAAAAGCAAAGGAAAAAGAAAGAATTGAAATAATTTATTACAATCATCAATTTCTAATTAATATTTTATGCATATTTATTTAGTCAAACTATGTTGTCTTCAAAAAATTCCCATTATTCTCCTGTAACCTTTTTTATCTCACCAAATGCACCTCCCCCTCTCTCTCTCTCCCTTCTCTCTCTCTCCTTTCTCTTCTTTTCCCCCTCTCCAATTATTTCAATTTCTAAATATCTCACTAACTATCATTCAATTCTACAACGATTCATTCATGCATTTAATTCTTCATTTTCTTATCCTCTCATTTGATTTTAATTTAAATTACTCCTCACTTAATCCATACTTTCAAATGATAGACTATTTTTTCACACTCATATCATCTTCCTTTTCATCTCTTCTCTTCCTTTTTTCCTTCCCCTCTTCATCTTTTTTCTCCTCCTCCTTCTCTCCTTTCTCCTACTTTTTCGCCTTTTGTCTTTTTCTTTTTTTCAAATTCCTCCTCCTCATTTTTCATTCAGAAATTATCATTCCCATTATCTCTTTATCTTTTTTCTTTTCATACGTCAAACAAATATTCATTCCCAACGGTGTCACTTTCTTCCTTGCAATCTTCTCTAATTTATCAGTTGCATTACAATTGCTATGACTGTCTTCTAGACATATACACACACACACACACACACACACACACACACACACACACACACACACACACACACACACACACACACACACACACACACACACACACACA